CACGAGAGAAACGTTTTTTTCGAAGGGAGGAGACGACGAGACGATGATAGGGTTTCTGAAAAAGAGACGACAATGCCAATAATCAGCCAAGTGGTTCGACCGATTCCAATAGCTTTATCCTTGAAAACGAGCAGCCTCGTGCTTCCTACCCCACGCGTTTTATACTGAATTATACGTAGTATCTCGTCTGGATCCCTTCACATTTATGCTCGAGAGAGTACAATTTGTGACAGCCTCTTCTAGCTAAGGGATCTTTCAGATTCGGAAAATCTGCCTTATTGTTGAGTCGAGTTCGGCCTTTCTCACTCGGGGGAAGAGTTAAACGTCGAGTTTCTTGACAATGATAATAATCCATCTTACATTCCTTTATTAAATATCGTTAAAAGAATATTCAATTATGTATTTCTTTCAACATCTTTAATTCTTCTCTACAAAAATACTCGAGGACTTCCACGTCCTCTCCACTTCCTCTTCCAAGATTTCACACAAATTTCGACGTCAAATATTTGCTCGGTCGCATAACACCAAAAAGTTATTGCGCAATTTTGTCTCTCGATTAACGATACGTCGACAAACGAGAAACAGAAAGAGAAAAAGAGAGAGAGACGAATTGCGCAAGAGGAAACGCGGCACCAAGACTCGTTACATGCGGAGGACTCGCATGTGATATCCGCCGCGGCGTGGTCCCATTTATCAGTATCGATACCTCGAATACCGGTCGACGTGACTTCATCCCGCCGCGGCGTTTAACGAGGGAAAGGCGATCACATTTCATCTCATTAGTCGGGTGGCATGGTTACATCAATTTATAACTAACACGAATCGACCATGGATAGTGGACGCTCGTCCACTTATGTTGGCCGGGTTAATTAGCGCCGCGTTTCCATTTCTTTGCCCGCGTGAAAGCCGCGCTCTAAATGGACGTGGCGCGCAATAAATCGCGCCATTTTCAAATAATTTTCGCTTCGATACCCTGACGATTTAAAACCTTGTATCGAAGGTAAAGGATAATCTTTTGATCGAATCAACGAGACGAGGGAGTGAAAAATTTTTAATTTCAATTATTTTTATGTCGCATTGTGTTGTTATGGTAGAGATAGTCAGGCGTTTGATAAATAATCGACGAGTCCAACGACATTGGCCCAGAACGTCATTTATCAAATGCTCTTCACATTCATTCTTATTTTCTATTCATTTTTGTCATTCTTCCTTTCTATATTCTCCCATCTTTCTTCCCTCTCTTTCTTAATCAAAATTTTTCATCTTTTTCCTGCCTCTCTTTTCTAGTCGCAATTTTCTATCTTTCTTCTTCTTCTCTTCACACGCCCATCGTCAGTCGCTAAATTTATAAACCATGATCATCGTGTCCATTGTCTTTCTCTCATCCAAGTAACACGTGAGTGAGATCAAGGCAATGAACACGGAAATGGTTAAATCTGAAAATCCTAAGCTGAAAAGATATATTAATAATTTTGTATCTAACGGATTAATATTATTCGATTTACTAAGCTAATTTTATTTCAAATTCTATCCAATGAATTTACTTTTCTAATTTAATTGAAACAAAAGAGAAAAAGTTAAAAATGAACGAGAAATTTATTTATAACAAAAAAAGAAAAGATTGAATTTTTTCGGGAACAATATTTCAAAGTTTGTTTGCTTTGATTCTGAAATATACCTGTCTTCTTGCACATATAATTTAATATATTTATATATATTCATATCAAAATTGAAATTTATTAAAAATTTACCAAAAACTTTTGATATTAATAATCAAATACAAGATCTAGCCTGAATTAAAAATAAGTAAATCACATAAAAATGTCACGGGAAATATAATGAAATATCCGCGTTATGATTGAATGAGAAATCAAAAAGCATGCGACTCACCATTGATGCGAAGAATCAACTCATTGGAAAGTCATCGTTAAAGCCAGCATCGTGTGGGACATCTGTAACAAAGAATGGAATAACATAATTTAAAACGCAGTCAATTTTGTTTAAAAGAAATTGTAATAAAAAAATGAAACTCTATTAGACTAATATAGTAATAAAAATTGAAATTCTAATAAAAATTAAGACGCGAATATTCGAAATTTAAAAATTAAAAAATAAATGATTCTATGTCGCGATAGAGAAACTTAGAATAGAAGAATTTAAATAGAATGAAAGATAATTATCTCTTCGCGTGATGGATGATCGCCTTATGAAACACTAACTTCTGACTCTAATTTCGTTTATCCAAATTCAACATCGTTTTCCAATTGTCTGTCAAAATATTACGTAAATTATTCCTTTAACGTAATAATTATAATATTATTAAATTGCTAAGTTCCTATAATTTAAATGATTGTTAATTGAAATTAAATTGTTGTTAAACTTTTAAGAAAAAAAATCTGAATTACACGTTCTCTGGTATTTCGCTACAAAGAAAATGATAATTGACAAATGTCTGAATAACGAAAAAAAAGATATAAAGAGAAAGCAGCATTTCTAAACTAATAGTTAAGAGATTATCGAGATTTACGTTTTTTTCATCTTACATTGTATATCGTAGTTCGTATTACTTTTACGTCTCATCTCGTTTCGATCGTGGAAACCTTTTAATTCTATTCACGGATAAATCGAACAGTATATCAAAGTTTTATATACATATATATTTTCCTCGTTCCATTCGCTGGCCAGAAACGAACGTATCGCAACAATCTAGAATAGTCGTTGCGGGGAAAACGATTACAATGGAGCGAACAATCTGGATAGGAAATCGGCGAAACGTGCGCGGAGATTTCTTCTCGATGCTGGAACCTCGTGGATCGCATAGAAAAGATATATGACAATAATGGTAAGGGCTCGTAATACACAACCGCACTTGTGACCGACTTGCAGACACGATAAAATCTCTAGTTTTTCTCGTCGGATGTGATTAAGATTCCGAACGTATGTCTATCTTGTTTCGATTCTTAGAAGAGTTTGCCTTTGTTCTCTCTTTCTCTCTCTCTCTCTATCTCTATCTCTCTATCTCTCCTCGATATATTTCTCTTTTTTGAATCTTGTACGTATAAATCTGTTACATAAGAATATTTTAACCTGATACTGTAACTTTGTAACGATTCAAGAAAGTAAAAATCGATATATAATTATTCTTCGAGTTAACAAATTTAATTTTAATTAAGTTGAAGAAATTTAATTTTAGAACGGAGGAAAATAGATGAATCTGGTGGGAAGAAGATAGAGTCATTCTCGTTCCATCTGGTTGCATCATGTTTTATTTAGCGAAAAATTAAATTGCTCGCAACACTTCGATACTTTTACGCCGAGAAATTTTTCGTTTGCTTTATCCCTTAAATTTTTGCATCCACTTTATCCCAATACCCTTCGTCCAATCGAATTAAAAATTAAAATGGAATTGAAATTGATAAACAATTACATCGATTCGTCCGGGGAAATTATTTATCTCTGTACGCCAAAAAAAAAAAAAAAAATATTTGGCTTACCGTAAAGCAAAATAAGGGAACGGAGGCGATATCACCGATCGTAAACATCAATTTTCATCGCTTTTGAATTTTAATCCACACATCCTATTATAACGATGATCATAATAATTTATGCGGCAATGATATAACTGCGTACCGCACGACAATAATAAATGTGTTCTCCGGTAATGATCAAATATTTATGAACGGTTACGATCGTTTACAATCACCCCGCCACGTCTCATCTTAATGTATAATACAGTCTTTCCTTTTCTTTTTTTTTCTTTCTTCTTTTTTTAACAACTTCCAACTCCCCGCGCCCGTTGCAAATTTAATAAAATTAATCCTTTCCCCGAAGTGAAGTGAGCGATATCCCTTAAAAGCACACGAAGCGAACGAGCGATTTACGTAATTCTTTGATACAGGATTAATCGAGGTTTTAATTGGTTTTAATATCCGACGGTCGCCTCGACGAATTATTATCGAGCCAGTTGAAAATTTATTTGTACTTGGGTCGAATTAAACCGATGTCACACGACGGATTTATGGCTAATTATCGTATCGAACTGGACCCGCCATTTTGGATGAAAATTACACGTGAATTCGAGTTTTTTTTCTTCTCTCTCTCTCTCTCTTTCTGCGTAATAATAATGGTTTCTCGCAAAGAAATTGTATCTCGATTTACTGCGATGACGAGAGCCGGACTCGAGAATGGATTCTTTTAATTTTAATGTTTATGTGTTTTTTTGTTGAAAGAATTTCTCTCGATTTTATTTCATCGTAAGAGAAAATTTAAATTTTCGTATATTTCTATAATTTTATAACGCGAGTATAGAGGAGTTAGGACAAATGAGTGATGTATGAGTTGATGGACAGTAGTAATGACGTAAAATTAACACGTTGTTTTTTTTTTTTTTTGTTCGAGATGCATTAAAAAGCAGAAGTAAAGAAGTTAGAATTAGATGTATACGTAGGTGACCTAGAATACCTGTAATAATGTTGACAATCTGCGTAAAAGGTAATCTACACCTGTCTTTAAATAAAACAGCTTACTCATTGCAACGTGCCAAGACTTGTTGGAAAAGTAATTACACCATGATTATTTCCATTGAGCGATTCTTTCATAGCCATTTCGCAATTGGCATTAATTCGAATGGAAACGTTCAACGTATTCAATTATCAACCGTATACGTTGATAATTTTTATCGTATCGATGAATTTTTCATTAGAAACAGGAATAATTAAATTGAATTTTTTGAAAGTCACACGAATCGAAAATACTGAAAATTTTCGTTCAAATATATCATAGATAAAACTGAGAACATTTTGTAGTCTCTCAAAGATTCTTTAATTAATTAATTTATTATCATTATTTGACATCGAAAGGAATTCACGTAAGAACCAATAAACTATCCAAAACATCTTAAATCAGAATTTGCATAAACATCCTTTTACTCTATCTATGATTACGACAATTCATAATTATCGTGAATAACGTATTTTCTCCCCTCCTTTCACGAATTTCAGACGAACATGCACGCGTCGTTTCCGTACGACGGTGGACGCAGTAGCGGCGGAGGCGGAGGAGGCGGAGGCGGAGGTGGAGGTGGAGGTGGCGGCGGGCGAGGCGTCGAATATGGCGCTGTCCGCCGTCCTGACGCCCTTCTACCACCCCCAGGCCTCGACCAAACCGACCTCGTTCTCCACAGCAGCCTCGTAGACGACCCCCAGGTGAGCGACGATGTACGTAATCGCAACGTATTTTCTCTATTATCGTTCTACAATTCACGAATGAAAATGTTAAATAACAATATTTACTTGCGATTTCCATTTCTCTTCTATTATTATGATGTCCCTCTAAAAATTTATTTAGAGAATGAAGAATGCATATGTTCGTATATGTAAGAATAAGAAATTTGCAAATAAGAGTATTTTTTTTTTTTTTTTGTTAGAGAGAGAAAAATTAAGTTCTCTGATGATATTTTATACTTATATAAATTTATCAAGCGTGTATAATAAGAGTGGATATGATATGGAATTTCATTAATGTTATCGCAGATAACGAATTTTATTTATAAGATTAAATTATTATTTTCGCTTTCGCGTGGAAGAACATTAACATCCATTAAAATGTATCTCGACAACTTTTTCCTTTTTAATTCACGATACATTAGAAATTAACTCCCTCATGAATATGTATATATCACTCTAATCTCTTCTTTAAATTCTTTCCAGAACACAAACGTGGACGATGGAGGGTTCATGAACGATCTTCCTCTCTTAAAAAGTAAGTAAATCTAGCCTAATCGTTTGTAATAATCGCGTAAAAAAAAAAAAAAAAAAAGAAAAAAGAAGAAGAAAAAAGCTAAATCGCTTCACGATCATCTCGAAGCGATTGATCTTTCAAGGCGAACCTTATTTCCATGATAATCGACTTCCTTCCGGTCTTACCTGTTCCCCACCGGTTTAAATGCTCATTATCAGACGCGCCACTTAAATCGTTATCGTATCGGCCTCGAAAGACGCCGTTTCCACAATTTTCGAGACCGCGTTCCTCCGCTTCTTTAACAGTGTTCTAAACACCATCATCGAATCGACAAATTTACGCGATAAGATACGAATGCAAAAGAAAGAAAGAAGAAAAAAAAAACGAATTGCGTTTCGTATATAAGGATAAAAGCTCGAGAGGTGGCGGGCATTATTCCCATCGTGTGGTGGAAAACGTGTCCGCCGCGCAAACCGGAAATATAAAGTAGCCATGCCGGTAACTTGTCGCTTTTAATTAGAATTTATCTCCTCGAGTGTCGAGTATCGATTGCTTCTCCGTGAACGGATTGTGAATTTCAAAAGCAAAGGTGGAAAGGTAAAAAAAAAAGTAGATGGTCCTTCATCCGCCATTAATAGGAATTTTAAACAGTCGGAGGGGGAATATCGCAAGGATTTTTAATCGCCGTTCAATTTCTGTTGATTATATAGAGATCTTGATTCGGGTAAATAATTTAGAGAAGATTTAAGTTTATATAAAATTTTTTTTAATTTTCTTATATACATAATGTTAAAGAAAATTAAATATACGAAAATGGAATCTTTACTCTTTGAAATTGGAAATTTTTCACGAGATATATAGAATTTAGTATAGAATTTAGATTTGATGATTCAATTATATTTTGAAATAAAAATTGAAAAGTGATAAGGCTGTATACGTATATGGTATGGTTTAAAGAATATCGATTCATCACTGTATATTTCTCTAAGCGAATATTAACTTGAAAAACCATAATCTTTCCTATTACACCATGTTTCTCGTTATATATCCACGATAATAAAAAGAACAGTTGCTGTTCATCCACACAGATTATTTAACCAATTTTTTTTTATATATATGCATTATTCTCGTCGATTAAGGTAATCCAAAAACCATCCACGAAGTAACTCATTTGATCGGGAAACAAAATTGGCAGATAATAAACCCAATTACCTTGCCACCCCAAACCTCTCCTCAACTGAAATTCATTTTCCAATCCTCCCCCCTGTCAAAAAACGGTCGAGATAACATCGAACTAGGTAAAAGTCCACGCGTCATCGGTTTAATTAAAGGTTTATCTTCGGGAACTCGTTTAATAAAATCGCCTAGTCGATAGTGGGTCGCACTTTCACGCCGATCTCGCCATACCGATTCTCGGAACCGCGTATAAACCTACAGATAACCAATTTATACGAACAGCAGAATAGTTTCATTTGACGTACCAATGTTTTTCCCTATTCCACACTGTTCCATTACATTGCGCGCCAAGTTTTTCTCGATTTCGTTCTGTTTTTCTCCAGACGGATGACAGAGATTGTCCAATACGCACGATTGCGCAACCATGAACCAGTTATCCGTTTGTTTCGAAGAGATGGAACGATATTGTAAGGAAACTTGCGCTATCCCTAGCGTTTCGAAAAGCGTATCGAGAAATTTCGAATTTTTCTTACGACGTACCTTTCGAAGAATGCTAGATTACGATACGTAATTATATTAAATCCACTGATAACGGAAGGATCTTCTTACGAGATAAAAAATTCAATTCCCAAAAAGGTACTTTAAATTTTCTTAATCCCCGGTTCTGCAACTCCACACTCGTCAAAATCTTAGTCTTAAAATTTAGTCGAATGTTCATTCGAACAATTCGACGAGACGCAAGAGCCCTCGATGCGATTCTTGATTTTTCCGAACACAAAGGCGAGGAGAGGGGAAAGGAGGGTAGGGGAAAAAGGTGTTACCGGTCCACTCGGCCAAAATACGTAGCGTGCGTAGGTTTACGTAGGCCAGAGGTGCGAAGGAGAAATAAAACTGGAGTGGAATGCCCCGAGGCGGATCGGATTTCGTTCATTGTCATTGTAATTTCTTGGCGGGGCGCAGTTTTCGGGGCGTTACACGCCACCGGGGGTATTACCTACAGATGGCTGTTTGTTCGAACGTCACCGTGGGTTATTATATGCCTTGTTACGCGCCCTCTCACGGCTTATTTGCCCAGTTTTCCCTTCCATCCCCTTCCAACCCCGAGCCGCCATTGTCCCTTTGTTTCGAACCGCGTATATTTCGACATTGTATCGTCGAATTTAAGAAAGGTGCGCCTCAGAGACGCGTGTTCACTTTAACGCGTGTGACTTGTTTTATTCTCCGTGTGTGTGTGTGTGTGTACGTATGTGAGAGATTGAGAGAGAGGATAGTTCAACAGTCTTTCTACAGTCGAAGATTTTTAAATCCAAATTTGAGAATTTTATTGAGACCGGGGAGAGTTCTTTTTATTCGTCATTGTAAAAAACGTGTGTAGGGAAATATTAAATTCCAAAGTTTGAATCTCGCGTTTAATCTCGAGATTGAACGTATATACTTTTTCGATATGGCAGTTCGAATTTCGATGAAAATCGCGAAAAAGTCCACCTACGTTACGTTCTCGTGAAAATTGTTGGTCGCGCGTTGAAATATCGAGCCGATCGGCGAGAGCAGCGACAAATACATACAACCGACGACATAACATACGCGTTCCGTTTCTCGGAAGCCGGTTATACAATTACTTGCAGCTTACCTTGGCTCCTTCGTCACTCCTCGACGTGCTCCAGTTTACCAGTTTAACGTTGCTCCAAGGTATATGAACGAAATGGATTTTTCTCGGGACTTCGAGCTGCAAAAAAAATTGAAAATTCTCAGATCGAAAATCTTTGCCTGGTTGATTGGGAAAATTGAAAAAAATATCGAAGAAATTGGGGGAAGTGTGGAATGATATTTTTCGATTGAAAAGAAATATGCGTATATTATATCGAGAAAAAATAAAATAAAATTCATCAAAAAAAATTTTAGCACCGTTTGGAACATTTGGCGAGATGTAAGTACAGGTCGTAGATAACTAGTTGGCAAATCACATTAAACTACAAGTTCGCGTTACAACGTATAATCTGACATCTGTTGACATCTGCTTCAACCACTAGTTTCGTGTAATCCGTTTCTCTTTTAACGAGTGAAAAAAAAAAAAAAAAAATCTTACAAGAACGACAAAAAACGTGTATCATAAAAGTTAAAGATTGAAGAACACCTTTCAAATCCATTTCTATCTAAAAAAAAAAAAAGATTCGAGAAATCCTAAGAACGTAAATTCAAAAACAGGGTAATTTTCTACTTGCCAAACAGACGCGAAGAAAAAAAGAGATTGGTAAGCGGCGCTGGTAAGGAGATGAAACGAGTTTTTGTGGTTAATCAATCGTCCTTCGTCAACGATGAGGCCGTTAGAAACAATTAATCATTCAAATGAGGGCAGCGGACGGCACCTCTTTACCATGTTAATGATTTTTCTAATTTAACCGGTCAATGGTGTCCATGATCAATTAACTTCTGGACGTTACGCGCATTGGGCTCTTTTGAAATTACGTAAACGAGAAGAAGAAGGATCGTGTCGGGTGTTGCCACCCGTGACAAGAGTTCTGAATCTGAAAATTATGCGCGTCTTTCCACGTCGATCGGTTTCAGCAGAACAGTAATTTACGGTTTACGAAGGCAACGTGTGTTTTGGATATCGGGACGAGAGTGGTCTCGTTGCGTTTCATTAGGAGGGCATTATGATAATATCGTTTTAATCTTCGACAACAACAAACCTGTTTCGTCCAACACGTGTAAATACACACGCGTGTAAAATCGTCTCGTTTACCTTTGGTAAATGAGACTCTTCATTTGCGCGAATTTATTATTTACGTGATCTCTGTATGTAAATTTTATTTCGCCAAGATATGATTGATTCTTTTTTTTTTTTTGTACGAATAAATATGTATGCTGAAAAGGTATATAAAAATTTTTCTGAATAAAAAAAATATTCTGAAAATTTAATCACTAAATTCAAACACTATATATTAATAGCGATTGATTTTTAATAATAATTTAAATTTTATGCATTTTTCACGCAGGTAGAATTTTATTTACCCTTTGGCGCCTGCAATTCCAATGATTCATTCATTAATCGTTGCATATATCTGAATAATTCGGTTTTTTTTGTCGCGCTTTTTTTCTATAACGGAGTTCACATTTTATCCGCATACATTATCTTAGCTTTTTAAGTATTGATATTAAAGAAAAAAGAAGAAAAAAAAATTGGTTACATCATCTGCAGGAAACCTGTTTGAAATGAAACTATTTCTATGCATCTTTTTCTTATTTGATTACATTTCTAGCGGCTGTATTTTACATTAAAACGCCAGTGCTGTATTTTACATTAGAAATTCGTGTCTCGTTATCCCGTGCTGTAGCTTAGTTAGGCAATACCAGACTTATTTCCCTTAAAGATAAAAAAGATCTCTTTTTATTCTCCCCCTCCCCAAGAATATATACTACCTAGAGCTTCGTGTGTAACGTTGAATTTTAAACAGACATTTCTATCTATAAAAATTTCATTCATACCGTTTTGCTACGTAAAGTTAGGCAAGAAATGAACACGTTACACCATAATCTTGATCTCCATTTATCTCATTTAAACCACTAAACCTCGAGATATGATCTTTCTCGTAGAAAAACTTTTGAATAGACTTATTCTATCGCAATTTAATCAGACGATTTCACGGCATTTATCAAAATTGCTAATTATCCCGACAAATTGCGCGATTAAAAAATCCTGTAACATCAGAAATTTATCGATTCAAACTATTTCAACGTCAATTAATAAGATTATTCTTACGAGACGAGTACATACATTCAATAGTTACAAAATATCGATTTAAATCATATCATCGCATAGATAGATATTCGCGAAATTTATTTCA